CTCTCTCTCTCTCTCTCTCTCTCTCTCTCTCTCTCTCTCTCTCTCTCTCTCTCTCTCTCTCTCTCCCCCACTCTCTCTCTCCCTCTCTCTCTCTGTCTCTGTCTCTGTCGTTGGCACGAAGATTCGTTCTCCTGGTCTGCGAGATCCTTCCATCTCTCTCTCTCTCTCTCTCTTTCTCTCTCTCTCTCTCTCTCTCTCTCTCTCTCTCTCTCTCTCTCTCTCTCTCTCTCTCTCTAGTTCGCACGAAGATCCATTCTCGTCGTCTGCGAGATCCCTCCAGCCCGCTGAAACACAGTAATTTTTCACTTTTTCTCTCTTTCTTGTTTCTTTGTTTTTTTTTTTAATGATAAAAATGAATGTCATTTGTTGTTTTTTTAACTTTTTCCTCGAAAAGAAAAATTTCTTCTTGTGAACTCAGGTTTTGGTGCAGTCAACGCCCGCTAGCTCTAGGCTCGGCCCAGATCGTCATACCGGTCCGCTGAGGCAGGGAGTTGATCGCTGGGTGAGGTACTTGTGGCTTAAAACTACTATTGCCCCTCTTACCCAATGCTTTCATCTTCTTTTGTGTGTGGTCGGCAACCTAATGGGACCTGCAGAAGGTGCAGACTCCACTGTTGCTGCATCAAGTGACAGCACTGGCAGGTCTGCAACTGCTGCAGCCTCAAGGACAGAAATAGCAGATGCTGATCTCAGCTACGACAGTCGCTATTTGTACAGTAATGCGGTTCAGTAATCTTCCAAATACAACGACAAGGATGCCATCGAGTCCTGGATCAGCTTATGCGGTCCTACTTCAAGGTGTTGGAAGATAGTTCGTGACCCGGTGCTTGATCAAGGGAAAAATGTGGAACCCGTTGTACGGGGCTTCTTAGAAGTGCAAGTTGTATGGGCAGGTTATATGAAGATTAACCTGACCCAATGGCTCAAAGCCTCACCAATTGCTACACTTGAAGAGATCCTAATCAAACAGCATAACGATCCACATGCTGCAGCAAGACTGAGGAACAAGCTTGACCATCTCAAGCGCAGCAAGTGGTCGAGCTCTATGCAAAGTCTCCGGTCGTATGTTAGCAAACTGTTTGCCACTGTCGGATTGGAAATGACTGAATAGTCATGTTTGGATGTAGTGAAAGGTGCTGTTCCCTCCAGTAGTCATTGCCTAGGCAAAGGGCTCATTGACCATACGGAGTGGCTTTCCTTACACCAGATGTAGTGATCCTCGAGGCACAAGACCTCGTTTCCACAACCGGTGGGAAGAAGCCCACAGGCAGCAGAGGGTTCATAGGCAGCAGACGGTTGCTGGATTGGAGGCCGAATTGGAGGCCTATGCAGATGAAACCTATTGTCGGTGACAACCAAAAACATGAGTTGATATCGCCAGTTCCTCTTCGGCCCACGAGTCTATTAGTACGAATGAGCGTTATGCATGGCATGAGGCATTTGATTACTGGAATCCACTTCAAAGTCTTTTCATATCACCAGACTTTGCAGTGGGTAAAGCCACAAACTAATCTATCTACAACGCTGTCCCGCTGGCTACATGAAATGTACGTGTATGACATTGAACTAAGTCATAAGAAAGACTTACATATCGCCTCTTCCTCTTCGGCCCATGAGTCTATTAGTAAAGTACTTTATGCTTGGCATGAGGCATTGGATTACTGGAAGCCACTGCGAAGTCTTTTCATATCATCAGACTTTGCAGTTGATAAAGTCACAAACTAATCTATCTAGAACGCTGACCCGCTGGCTACATGACATTTACGTGTATGACATTGAACTAAAGCATAAGAAAGACTGTTACAGTCGAGTTGCTGATGCATTGTCACCCGGCGTATTTGACTTGCCTTGTGAGCTCCCAGGACCTCCGAAGGAAACTGAGGGTGGAGCTAGCAGAGCAAATTGCGAAGGATTCGGACCTCAGTTCTATCCTTGAGAAGCTCAAGGCTGACCCTAACAGTCAGCCTGACTTCCAGGAGTGTGAGGATCTGATTTTTTGACGCTATTGAAAGTATGACATACGGTGTGTGTATCCAGCCATTCGCCTCTCCGCACTCATTTTTTGGATTTGGCTCTTGGCCGGAGTGGACACTTGGTTTTGAGATGACATACCGAAGTCTACCACAACAGTTTGAAGGTTGTGCCCAAAAGTCTGTGGCTGAGTGTGAAGTCTGTCAATGGGTCAAACCATCTTAGACGAAAGCCCATGGGGCTGCTGAAACCTCTCCCCATTCCCGAGGGTCCCGGTGAGTGTCTGTTTTGATCTCACGGACATGGGTAAGTTGAGTTCGAATGGGTATTCTGGGGGGTTGTGCGATTCCGAAAGATGCTTCGATTTACCATAACCAGAATGCTTCGATTTACCATAACCAGGTCCATCTTGTAAACCAATAGTGAAATCGAACAAGCATTTTGGATAGGTCGTGCTATTCTTTACAATCAAAGGCTGGAAGAGTGAGACTTGTGAGATTTTTTGGTTCATATTTCAATTTGGGGTTTTTTGGTATCATATTTTGATCTTCCTCGATGTCGATTAGGAATTCCTTGGATATTGTATTCAAGTCTATATACAGCACAAATAAAATACATACTTCAA